TGGCAAAATACATACACCCCGCAATTTTCTTCTTTTTATATGTAATAATTTTTTTTTTAAAATATATAAATATATACGTTATAATAATATATTTCTTTTTATTAATGTTATTGATAAATTATATTTATCTTTATTTTATGGAAAAAAATAAATTTATCGTCGATTTGGAGCACTAATCTGATGTTCGAATTTCCATTTACTTTTCTATCAAAAAAGAATTTTGTTAGCTACCGCACTTTAAAAAATAGAAAATAAAAAAAAAAAAGAATTGATGCTTCACACTATATGGGTACTTTGCATTTGGATACAGTAGAAAAATGGTCCGTATCACGTCATACACAAAAGTAAACTTGAAAAAATCGAGATCTATTATAATGTTTGAATATTAAACAAACGATGGAAAAAACTTTTCTTAAAAAAAAAATTGTCCTACTGTGTGCATTTCCGAAAATTCTCCGAACATTTTCTAGAAATGCGAAAAAATTGTGGCTTCAGTTTGTCTCTTCAACTAAAATATATTACGCCAATCTAAATTCCTAAAACAGAAATAATTTTAGATTTAGAAAGAAGTGTACAAACTTCTCAATATTTATTATGCAAATGACTTTTGCATTGTGTGTCGGGATACAAAACGCAACATTTATAAACATAAATCATTCAATGCACCTTTATGTACATATAAAGCACATATAAAGAAATATGCATAAGGATGGCTTAAATTAAAATCAAAATTGAATTGAATCTTTCTCCTTTATGAAATAAAAAAAAAATGATACAGGACACCAAAATCAAAGACACAAATTATTATATTGATTGGCTAGAAAGTCCTAATATTGAAGAATACGAGCATTCGTTCTTTGAAGATATACGACCAATCGGAAAAGGTTCTTTTGGAAGCGTCGTACGTGTGAATTTGAAAAATACCGATGATCTCTATGCTTTAAAATCTCTTAATACCGACAAAGTAACCTTGCATGAAATTGTCAATGAGGTACACCGCCTTAAAGATTTAATGTATACATGTTTGTATTTATATATTTAATTAATATGTAGTATTGTATTTGCGCACAAGTTAAAGATACATCGAAAAGTTCACCTTCATAAAAATATCATAAAAGTTTTTGGAATCATAAAAGAAGAAACTGGTAATTTTTATAAATTATAATACGATTAAATTACATTTAATAATTTTATTTTACGGTAGACGCAAGTCATCGGATAAAAAAATACTCTCTAGTTTTGGAATATGCTGATAGTGGCACGCTAAATACTTATTTAAATAAACAATTTATTGAGCTTGATTGGAAGGACAAAAATCAGTTAGCATTGCAACTGGCAAGTGCTGTAGCATTTATACACGATTGTGGTATTATTCATCGTGATTTGGTAATTGTTACCTTTATAAATATTGTTATCTTTTAAATTTTATCGAAATGTAATCGTAACTCTCCTTTCTTTATTTTTTTTAAAAAAAAAGCATGCAAATAATATACTTGTGCATCGGAAACAAATTAAATTAGCAGATTTTGGTCTAT